GGGGTGGGCGGGCGGTGGGCAGCTGCTCCCGCTCCTTTGTTTGCAGGCGCTCCGCTCTGCTAGCCGGGGTCCGGCCTGCCCGGGCAGGCTGCTGTCTCTTCTGCCTTCCCTCAGCCCCGACGGGTCCCTGGTTTTGTGCGTTTCTGGAGTTTTTAATCTAACGCTGACCCTGCCGAGGGCCCAGCCCTTGTCAGGAGGCTTTGTGCGTTAGTATCGCAGGTCGGATTGTCATGTCCCTCTTGAAAACAGAAATAATGAAGGTAGTAGGTAAGACTTAAAATCCTGACTGAAGCGAGAGTCCTAAAACTACGTTACTAACGCCATTTGGACTTATCTGTTGCAACACCTAGATGGTAGTTGCTGCTTCTTAGTAGCTGTTGTTCATCAAGAATAAATCGAAACTCCTTAACAGCCACGTTTGGACGTCGTTAGAACTATGCTTGTTTGCTTTATAGGTGAAAAATCCTGAACATGAACAGCAGTGCACCACACCTGTCCTCAAAGCTGACTTGGCTAGAAGTGACGTGTAGTGTCCTGACACATCTTACAAGGAAGCTGTAAATCCTTTGTAATGGCCAACAAGAAAGAACCTCCTTTTTTCAATGAAGATAACATGGGACCGTTTCACTACAAGCTTCCTTTTTATGAAACCATGGAGCTCTTCATTGAAACGCTCACAGGAACATGCTTTGAACTGCGAGTTTCCCCCTTTGAGACAATTATTTCTGTGAAAGCTAAAATTCAAAGACTGGAAGGTACTATTCTCTCTTATTTCAGCATAAACGTTACTACTTTAGAGGAAGTCTTGTGTTACAAATTATCATTGCTAAAATCAAACCAGATGATTTAAATTACTTGTCCAATAATACATATATAACCTAGGCACTCGATTTATAGCTTAGGTTTAATGGGAATTTAGTTGGTTTTCTGTTCCTTCCTCTTCCTGTGAGTTCATGTTTTAGGCTTCACTGGAATTAGTATTTCTGTTCTTTGCTTGCTTTTTTCGTGTGAGTCATTAAGATAAATCTTTAAAAGTCTATGGTAAATGATAAAATTTTTTGGTATTATGTGAGCTATAGTATTTTTGGTGTTGAAAAGATTTTCTGACATAAGTTGTTCATTAACTAGTAAGGCTATAAACTTGAGTTTTGCAGTTATGTCTATATTGCAACTATCTGAGCCTATTTTAAACGAGGTGCTGTGGTTGTTGCTTCTCAGGTTAGTCAGTTTATGTTTTAAGATACTACAGTGCAGACAAATCCCAACGGGAGCTTGAAGATACTGATTAGAATTTTGTGTAGGTGAGTGATCTTTTGCTGGTAGAGGTCTGACTGAACTATGCTTTGCCTCAAAGTAAGGAACTTGGCACATCCTGCAAAGGAGAACCTTCCTTAAGTTGAGGCCAGACCTGGTGATAATGGAAGGAGAGAAGATGTAGGTTAGTCTTCTAGCCCCTTTTCCTCTGCAATGAGAATGATCCTGCGTGAAAGAACATGATTTTAAATATGTATGTGTATGTACTCCACCTACTTTGGAGCATTGCATCCTTTTTGTCACTTTGGCAGAGTTAAAAGCTGTGGCTGCAGAAGCTGGGAGTACCAGAGCTGCTAATTTTAAGACAAGGGATCCATCCTCTCTTTCCCCAGTATACATGTACATGATTTTCATGATTCTGTCGGTGTGGAACCCACCCTCTGGGAGATGTAATATGATGCTTTAGACTTTAAGATACTCTATTCCTCTTCTGAAAATCCACACTAATGGATGGAAAAAAAAGGTAACTGACCCAAGTCTGAAAAGACAGAAGGATTGCAACAATAGGGATGGCTTTTTGCTAGTACGTTCACATAGCAGAAGCTCCACCACACAGATAACTAGAGTCTGCGACTGGTGTAGCTGCATTAGTGTGGCTGTGTAAGGATGCTTTTGTTTCCTGTGGACAGGGCCATAATTAATCACAAGTCAGAGAGTGTGTTTAGATGCTCCTGGAGGCTAGAGGTGAATCAAGAGAGGGAGAGGCTCTTTCTTCCTCGTGATTGAATGTAGGTGTAAGAGATGCGAGCAGGTATGTGATAGAATGCTGAGAGGGAGTTGAAAGGGAGCATGAGCAATGGTGTACAGGAGAAAGCAGCCTGTCTGGATGGTTTGAATGAAGGAGTGAGCACTGAAGGGTGCATGTAGAGACCAGCAGGAGATGTGAGGAAGAGGAATTTCATAGTTGTCCAAATCAGGAGATTGCAAATAGACATATTGAGTTATACTACAGCTTATTATTTTAGGTTGTATGTTCCTGGTTTACAGAAGTATCATAATTATTAGAAGAACAGCTCAGTAGTAAAGGCAGAATATTGCTTAATCAGAATTTTGTTCATATGTTGTAGTTATAGGATGGTGAGGTGGATGGCTTAGGTGCCTGCTGTATAGACTTAATTATTAAATACATGTCATTAAAACATGGAAGATAAAAATGGAAGATAAAACATGGAAGATTAAAACATGGTGATCTCATCAACGTTTACAAATATGTAAAGGGTGAGTGTCAGGAAGATGGGATTAAGCTTTTTTCAGTGATGACCTATGATAGGACAAGGGGTAATGGGTGCAAATTGGAGCATAGGAGGTTCAAGGTGAATATCAGAAAAAATTTTTTCACTGTGAGGGTGATGGAGCACTGGAACAGGCTGCCCAGAGAGGTTGTGGAGTCTCCTTCACTGGAGTCATTCAAAACCCACCTGGACACCTTCCTGTGTGATGTACTCTAGGTGACCCTGCTCTGGCAGGGGGGTTGGACTAGATGATCTTTCGAGGTCCCTTCCAACCCCTATGATTCTATGATTCTATGATTCTATGATAAGAGTTCACTGGTGCTTATCATTGAATTGTTAGAAATCAATTGAAATACCTTGATACTACAGAAAGGAGTTAAAATATCTGGAATACTCTGATTAATATGATTTATGGAAGGCGAAGTGAAAATGGATTGATAGTTCAATGTGAAAGGGACAGATACACAATGAAAAATTAATTTGGGATTGCTGTTGCATGTAAAAAAATAATGAAGAGCTTTTCAGTGATTGTGGTGGGCTAACCCTGGCTGAGCACCAGATGCCCACCAAGCTACTCTGTCACCCTCCCCCTTTCCTCTCCCTCCTCCACAGAGCAAAAGGGGAAAGGAAAATCAGATGGAGACAGAACCCCTAGTGGGTAAAAACAAAGGCAGTTTAATTGAAAAGCAAAGCCAAGCAATGCCATGGAGAAGTGAAAAGAAAAAAACAAACAAACAAACAAAAAAAGGTTTATTCTCTATTTCCCATCCCCAGGTGATGTCTGGCCCCTCCCTGGGAAGCAGGGCTCCAGAACGCATAGCGGTTGCTCTGGGGGGCCAAGGAGTAGCCCTCCCCAACTCCCCCTCCTTTGTACCAGCTTTATAGTTGAGCTGATGTCATATGGTGTGGAATATCCCTTTGGTCAGTTTGGGTCAGCTGTCCTGGTTGTGTTCCCCCCAAGCTCCTGCCCCCCCCCCAGTCCCCCTGGGGGGGAATGTTAGAAGGAGCCGGGATGCTGTGGGACTGC